GCCTCTCAGTGACTATATATATAGCATCTTCCATAAATACTACCATTTTAAATGTTTACTGTAATTATGTTAATTATTACTGAGAAATACAGTCGACCCCCATAACACGGTAGATATGTTCCAGTTTTTATGAATCCATTTTCTATGAGTCCAGCCAATCACAGCCCGGCATGTATGCAGTTTACAGACTATGGCTGTTTGAAAGGTTTCTTCCATAAAATTAATTGATTCTAGACTAATTCGACACAACATTTCCAAAATATGTATAATTTTTTGGGAATAATCCGTATAAACTATGCTGTAAACAAAAAATTGTAGGATTACTTACCAAGCGTGCACCGTTCGACTACGCCATTGCTTAAGCTTGTTTTTGTCATGGAGCTTGTCATCGAATGGTGCTCACGGGCTTCCTGATAAATTATTTTTTTTTTTGCAAAAAATTCGCTGAACTTTGGAGACATCATTAATATAAATATAATTTTTATGGACGTTAAATAAATGGTTTTTAGTAGGTCTGCTGCTCATTTAAACTCAACGGTTTGTGCAATATCCGCTATTGGTCTAGATTCGACCAATCCTGTCATGACACAAGTTGGCGATGACGTTTTACCAAATTATACAAGTTTTTCTTTTAGCATGTTTGTACAAATACTGTCGCAATTTTTTCGCCATGATATAGGAATCCCAACTATAGGAACCCGTGTTATAGGGGAGTCGACTGTATATGATATACATTAATCAATAGAGAAACTGTTCAAGTTTCATCTCCTTTCTTCATTCAAATGTCTTGTTGTCATCTTTTATCTCTAGGAAATGCCATAAATGAAAATGGAATCTTTGCAATAGAAAGAGTATTATATACAGTAATACTCCAAATTACATAACACATGACTTGCTGAAATTTGCAGTTATGTAAAATGTAAATTTTAAAAATTAGAAAAAATCTGAATAGAGTAACATGTAATTTTACAAATAATTATTCTATTTCAAACATTCATTCATTCTCTCTCTCCCCCACCTTTCTTTTGCACTGTACTGATTTATTTATTACTTTACTGTATTGCTCTGCTAATCCTTTACTTTTCAGTCTAATTGTAAGCAAGTATGCAAACATACCAGGCTACCAGGCACTCTTTCTCGTAAACAATTCTTTTATACAAAAAAGTAATTAATAATATATGTATATATATAATAATATAGTATATATAATAAATACAGTATTAAGTTATTAATTACATNCAAATGAACTGTATAGAATTTTATGACTTTTTAAAGCGTGAACCAGTGCTATTAAAAAAAATTAATTCTACTGAAAAGTATCAAAATTAATGTTATTTGAATTTTTACAATGTTTATGTATGTATAATAAATGTTATAAGATTTTTTTATTTTCTTCAATATGTCCTTTATTTTCCCCCAAAAAATATGGTCACCGTATTTATGAGTCATAAAGTTGTCTTTATCATGAAAATTAATTAACTAAGGATTTTTTTTGCCCTGCCAGGGTGTGGCCGAGTTATCCGGAGTGCCGGGTTATCGAGGCTCTACTGTATTCACTAAAATGCTGATTGTTGCAAAATTTGTGTACATCTGTGCATATGTGCGCATACCAACTCTGGAGCTTTTATAAACATTGTGGCTTACAAGCTGAAAGGCTGATACATCTTCACACATTGATTCAAATAGTCTTTTTATTTTTATAGTGTACTAGCTTACCCATCGCGCATTGCTGCGATTTCAGAAGAAAGGAAATAAGGACTCGTTATGATAAAATTCAATTTACATTTTATCATTTTTATTGAAACTTATTATTATTATTCATTTTCATTGGGAAAACATTTCAAAGTGTCATTTCAATTCTATTTGTGTATTGGAGTGCTTGTGGATATACGATATTTTTTGTCTTTCCATCTGGTGTGTACACGAATAAATCAGAAGGTTTTCCAATGCATTAGTTGGCCACATACAGTTATCTATGTAAGAAGCACAGATTATCCAAATTTAGCCCACACACTTGCAGTGATTGTCAGAAGTGCGATTTTCCCCGTTTTTATATATTTTTTTAATCCTTTATAATTTTAATTATTTAATTGCTCCTTCCTCTCTTCCTTGGCATGTTGTGAAATTTCTGATAGTTGGATAATAAACCATTTTATTGTAATTTGTCTTTTTAAATTATTTTGAATTGATATTAAAACTTGGAAAAGGGTATCCCTAGATTGGTAAAATAGGCAAATTTCCTCCTACAACTTCTGTTGTTGTTTGGGATACAGTTAAGGTTTTAACAAAGTTTGAGCGAATACGTAATTAGCAAAAAAAAAGTTGAAATAAAGCGATTAAACAAAAATTATTACAAATATCGTAAATAACAGTAAATCACAAATGCATATATAGAGATATTTTTGGAGGGGGGAAATGGTCTTCACAATTTGAAATTGATTGAACACACAGTGAAATGCTTGTATACACTCGTGCCATCTATCGTAGGATAAATGTACTACGCCAGAAACCTTCGTGGGAGTGTATTAAAAAACTTCCCAAAGCTTCATGGCAATCAGATAAATGGTGTGGTAATGCATGAAGGACAAACACACAGACATACATTCATTTTTATATATATATAGATTTGTAAAATTGTGAGTTTTTGTCTTGGTAAATTTAACTTTCATATTAACAAAACATTTTAAAATCAGCTGTAATTTATTTAAAAATTATGATGTGTTGCTAATCCAAAAACATTGTGAAAAATTGGTATAAGATGTAATTTATACTGTCATTTATTTAGTAGTTTTTACTGAAGTGCAAATTCTTTATGGATAATGTCTTAATGTCTTTATATATTTCTGACTTTTCTAAGAATTGTCTGAAATCCTCTCATTTACTGACAGTTTCTGAAAGGATAATAAATGAAGAAATTACCATAGAAATTAATAAAATATATAGCAGCATGTTTATACATAAATAAATATTAATAAATATAATTCTAAAATAAAATATTCTCAGATCAATTTTTTTGAGTAAAACACTCTTTCTTCACTGACTTCAAGTAAATTGTGACAAGACAGTTAACAATCAAAAAAGGAAAACATTTACAGTGGAACCGCTCATAACGAGCAAAACAAATTGTAAAAAAATGACTCGCTTAATGAGTGATGAGGAGAGGAGAAGTCCCAGATTGTGCACATGCTGCATCAGTCTGTGTATAGCACTCATTCTGCTTGTATCTTAGTGTTGCTTCTGATCACAAATTTTTCCAAACTTGTGTTCAGACATATCACATATAAACATCAACAATCATAGCCCATTATATAACAAATATATAATAAACACATCAAACAATTTGCCAAATTCTTGGGCTATGTAAAAGCTATAATTGAATATTAGAAATTAATTAATTTGACTAGAGGTAGGCAGTTATGCTGCCATCTTGTATTAAATTTTAGAAATGTTAAAATTAAAAATTGACTAGTGGTAACTGCTTACCGCTAGTCAAATTAATTAATTTTTAATATTTAATTATAGCCTTTACATAGCCCAAAAATTTGGCATATCGTTTGGCTGTTTGAGACATTTTTTTTATTTTTTTTGTTTTCTGCAAATCAAATTTGCATTCCAGGTTGGTTAGGTAGGTTAGGTTAAAATTATACAATATGCATTGTTAAAGAGCATAAATCATCTTCACATTTTCTTCTAGCATGGTATTCCATGCTAGAAGAAAATGTGATGATGATTTATGCTCTTTAACAATGCATATTGTATAATTTTCTTTAAGTAAACGTTATACATAAAATATTTGATTTTTTTTTTTTTTTTGGCATGGAACGCATTATAGAATTTTGCATTAATTTATATGGGAGAAATTGTTTCGCTTAATGNGACCTCTCTCAAACTCACTTAACTGAGTGTAAGGCTGTCGAATGCGTCGTAGAGGCATGTCTGTCACTCAATGAAGTCAAAACCATGAATAAAAGTGCAGAAAATATGCACAAGTCGTCACAGCGTGCACCTTTATACCAGGCAGCAAAAACATTTTTTCCCCTCTGGTGGCGATATAACACAAAAACCTACTCTCAAAAGCTAATCATTTACATATCTAGCTAAGATGATGCAACATATCAATTTTTATTAAAATCCAACAAGTCCTTCATGGTGTGTTATTTTTTTTGTCGTCCAGTGTATTCATTGTATGATCTTCTGGATTTGTTTCGTCAAATGATAAAAGACAAAAACTAAATAGCAGAATAGTTCCATTAGTTTAAATTTAGTAAGAGAGTGTGATTTGGAAATTTTGATGACCAGTTGAACTATAGAAACTAATACACTATATATAACAGCCTATGAGAGCAACCATGGTCCCATAACTTGTTACATTACATTGCTTGCACTCCCTTTAAAAAGGCTTTTAAACACACATTTAGGTTATATGCATGAAAATGTAGTAACTACCATAATTATCTTATATATATATAAAAATTTTGTATGAATGTTATATATCAACGGTTCCCAACCTTTTTCGGGTGGCGACCCCCTTTTTATAAAAGTCAAGTGACCCACGACCCTGAAAAATTTCATCTGGATAGTTGTACTGATGAATCTTCCTTAATTGTTACTTAATTTTAAACATATCAAAAAGTATCTGCTACTATCATCATTATAAGTACAGTACTGTGGCTCTACTATCTATTTGGCTGGCAACAGTTGTGGAAATAAATATTAAAATTGATTAAAATGCTGACATAACATAGATTAATTTCTTTTTATAACAAACATTTGCAAGTCAAAAACTCACATTTAAAAAAAAATTAAATCTGTCCCTATTTAATAAGTTTAAGTGCAAAAAGAGTACATATTTTCTGCATCCTGCAGAAAAGAGCATTGTAATGTTATATATGAGTTCATGAAATTAATACTCTTTAACTTTAAATTAAGCATTTAAAATACAATACTAATTAACTAAGTAACTTAATTTTACATGAATTAATTTTTCAATATCATTTTAGTATATACCAGCCAGAGGCGAAGCCGTTATAGGCATCGTTATTTCTAAAGGTAGCGAGAGTGTCAGAGTCGACCTGGGAAGCAGTGAACCAGCCACACTGTCTCTGTTTTCCTTCGAGGGTGTGTCAAGAAGAAATCTGCCAATTGTTCAGGTATGTTAAATGTCTGTATTAGTCAAAAAGACCCAATTTGTTTTGTGTATAAAATATAATTTAGAGTTGAAACATGCACTTGATTACACAAGATCTTTTTACCTCTAAACAAGAAAATAAATGTATTTGCTTATTAGATAATATAATTTCTTTGCATAAAGAGAATTCTTTAAGAAATACTACAGAAATTTATTAGTTGTCAAGTTGAATTTTGGCTATATTAAGTCTTAAAGGAAAACTTTGATCTTTAAATGGAAGTATTGTAAACTAAAGCAATTTCTCAAAGAAGTTGTGCTCAAATTATAATTGATTTTAAATATATTTTAATATAAAGCATTTGTTCATATTATTCAATGAATTTCTTTTTTATTTTTGTTNATGAAATTATTCAAACTTTAAGACACCATTAAAAATAAATATTGCATTATAGTGAAAATTTTGTTTTAGTTTACTGCATAAGTTAGTGACCCCACAGAAAACCCGTCGCGACCCATAGGTTGGGAACCCGTGTTATATATTAAAATGAAATTGAGAACATTTACTTGAAATGACATGACATAACATTTTTACTCTTAGATTCATTACTCTTAGCCATTTCCAAAAATCTGTATTTCTTGTGGATGAATGCATTAAAAATGCTTTATTTTGTTTAATGTATTGAAAATTTTGGTTCTTATTAATTCCACAAATCCTATCTTCAAAATTATGTTTTGCACTTTTGTTCCATGTTAATTGAGAACACTCTTTAAATCCAGAGGGTCAGCAATCTATGTACTGTGACTCTGGAGCCTACTACTTGTCCAAAAACAAATTTTCTTCTATTTCCATCATTCTTTCATCCATAACAATTATTGTATAAGGAACTGTAACAAATGCAACACATTTAATTCTATTTGCTTGTGATTAATGAAAAAATTGGTGTGTGTTAAAGTTTATTCATGTTATCAATAACACAAGTAATAATTCTTAGAAATTAAATTAAAGATCTTATATTTTATGATTTTAAATAACCTAATCTGTTCTACTTATTATTTCAATGTGTAATACTTTTACTTGAATTTTATAAAATTAGATACAGGTTTTGCTGACTCCTGTTTTAGACTTATGATTCATAACTCAATAAATTGTATAGAACTAGAATATTGTTTGCTGAAGATAAAAGTAATATGGATTGTAAATTAAGATATCGCTTGTGTTAGAAATATTTTCATCAGTGATGTTATAGTAATATATACTCTTTAAACTTTTATAATTGTCATAAGAGTAATTCTAAATAATTAAAAAGGAATTTTTAATAAAAATTTATTTACTATAGAGAATAAATAATTAAATTTTAAATCAAGTTCTGTTAAAGAGTATTTTTAATGAATAATTTCAGTCATATCTTTCCACCTTTTCTGAAAACTCTTGATCTTACGAGCATAGAATGACTGGAGAGTTTCTTAAAAAGAAAGTCTCAAGTGTTGAATATTGCCATTGAACTCTATGTTAGCAATATCATTCTGAAAGATGCAAAATAGATGGTAGTCAGTTGACATCAAATCTAGACTGTAAGGTGGATGAAACAGACTGGCCAACTTCTCTATGTCATCTTTGCATTATGTACTGACACACTATTGTGCAGTATCAGACTTTGTCAATTTTTGCACGAAGTTCTTTGATCTTGATGTTTAAGCAATCCAGTTGTTCACAGTACAGTTCTTTCATGACAGTGATGTTGGTTGGAAGCAGCCTCATGATGATGATGATGATGCTAATCTGCATATCAACCCCTTGACATTTACAACAGTAGGTTGACCTTTGTTCATCCAAGAACACTTTAACAAGTATTTTGCAGATGAGATCATGACCTTCATTTTGTTCTGGCAACTTTTGAAGCGATGAAAGAACACATTCACATGCTATTACTTTATTGGAAATAGAACCATCAGTATGTGATGAAATGCCCTTTGGTCACTCTACTTGCATACCTACATTGAATATTCTAGAAAAAATTGATATGTCTAAATTTCATCTTTGTCAATGTATTTATATTTCTATCAGTTTATAATGTTCTTAGGCTTTCCTCAGGCACCAAAATTATCTGGAATAGCTCTGTAGTAGTACATTTTTAAAAACTTTGTACATAATAACTATAATAATCCTGGGCTAATTTGAAGATTTAAGACTATACAAATAATGAGTCCTTATTCCTATTTACATCCTTTTTAATTTCAACCCAGGAATCACAAACAGTAGGAGACTTGAAGTAAAACTTCTAAAAACAGACAAATACTATCAAAAAATTCACATAATTAAAAATGATCTTGACGTTGACCCTTTTTTGTAGGCTACGACATCTATAAACATTAAAAATCAAATTCTTCATGAAGCATCCATGTTATATAATTGCATTTATAAAACCTTACTGTGCAATAAATACAGTGGGTGATCGTTATCCGAACTGTTCGTTAACCAAAGACTTTCACAAAAGATTTTTATATTTGGACAACGAACACTTCACAGAACATACAGAAAAAGAAGTGACATAAAATAGCGAATACCGATTGGTCTTCCCTTGTCTCCAGGCGACAATTCAAAACTTTTTGGAGCTATGGATATGTCAACATCAATGCTCAACCCAATACCAATCGGATTGTATTCCTATGAATTTTGAAACTCTCCCTTGTAATTCCAGCTTTTTGTTTACCTTTCTGACAAATAATTTTTTATAGTCTTGGCGAGACTTTCAGGTGGGTACTCATTAAGTTTTGCGTCAGTTTTTATTTACGAAAGGAGAGAGTTTAACTGCCCCATTCATTAACGTTTTAATATCAAATTTCATCTGGACCTTGCTTTTAAATAATTTTTTGTGCATTAGTTGATTTCTGTTTTCTGAATTTTTGTACTTTTCTGAACTTATTATTTAAAAAAGAAACTGATAATATTATGGAGCATAAAAAGAGTGGAGTGTCAAGAACTGTGCTCACTGTAGAAACCAATCAAGATATAATAGCCAAGATAGAGAGTGGGCAGATGCCTGATGTTGCTAGGCAGTATGGCTTGAACAGGTCTACAATAAACACAATCTTAGCTATGAAAGATATATCAAGAAGGCTCAAGCAATTAAAGATCTTTTGAGGAAGTGGGAGGATGTCAGAACAATGGGCATCCAAATGGCATCCAAACCAAGTTGCGGTTAATAGGCTTGGAGATCTCTACAATTAAAATGCTATTAATTACTTCTGAAAAATCCTGAAGAAGAGAGAAAAGCAATCGACATTAGACAGATTCTTTAACCCCCACAAACAGGAAAAAAACATGACTAATAAAAATGCAAGAATGTGTATATATGTATTTTTATTATTACATATACTTTCTTACTACGTTTATTTATATATATTTTATTTTTTGGAGTCTCTAGAACGAATTAATCAAATTCCCATAAAAACCTATGGTAAATCAATAATTGGTTAATGAACAATTTGGATAGCAAACAAACTCTTGGAACAGATTATGTTCATTAACTGATTACCCACTGTATTGAATGGATTTAAGTGTGTCAAGAAAATCTGTTTGGTTGTCATAGACAGACATTCTTTTCTGAAAAAGTTGACAGTCAGCATTAAGATACTGTACATCTTATATTTGAGTAAATGTGGTATTTCAGTCTTTTACAGAATTTTCAATTTAAATAATTAACTGTTGAATCTTAACTCAATAAACAAAAATTATGATTTATATTTTAAGATTCAAGATTGTCAAATTGACAGAAATCTTTCTTTCAGGTCGGAGATGTTGTCTATGCAAAAGTTTTGGTGGCAAACAAAGACATGGAGCCTGAAATAATTTGCATAGACAGCCATGGAAAGAAGGCGGGACTTGGCGTGCTGCCCAACCGGGGATTTGTCTTTACTGTTTCTTTGGATGTAGTCAGAAAGTGAGTATTGTAATTTTGATCCTTTTATATCAGTTAAACTTTCATTTACATATTCAGTTGGTAGACATTTTAACACACAAAATCAACATTCAGATAGATGCTTTTTTCATTTGTAATAATGTTTTATAAATTCTAATTCCTGTCCAGTCTCACTATGATAAAATAAAAATTTTACACACTAAAGTGACTTTTTTCAGACACTTGGCAGATTATTCATCTCTTTATTCAGTTGGGATGCTAGTTACAAGTCGCTTTTCAGGCATTAGCCCCTGTTCAGCCAACTAAAGATTAAAATTAAATATGAGAAAATTTACATATATCTACAGAATGTTTTATTTGCGTATGTATAACACATTTAAAAAAAAATACCTTAAAATTACAGATTACAAACATACAGACGGTGTACATAATGGACTGCATCATATTCCATAGATTGAGTGAAGAATGAACAGATTGACAAGTCTCAAACCTGACTATCTTTGATTTTATATAAATAATGTTCAAATAAATAAACTGAATTTATAAAATCAAAGACCGTCAAATTTGAAAGTCCTATTGTCAAGCAGTCATGTTTGAGACTTGTAGGTATTAAGGTATTTTTTTTAAAATGTGTTATACATACGCGAATAAAACATTCTGTAGATATATGTAAATTTTCTCATATTTAATTTTAATGTTTAGTTGGCTGAAGAGGGGCTAATGCTTGAAATGTGACTTGTAACTAGCATCCCAACTGAATAAAGAGATGAATAATCTGCCAAGTGTTTGAAAAAGTCACTTTAATGTGTCCATATAAAGCAAAGTAAACTACAACATGGTTTCATCAGAATCAAAATAAAAATTACCCCAGCATAATGAAGGTGAAAGTTTTGGTTAACACATACAAAATGTTTTTCAGCTGTATTCATGAACCCCCCCATTTCTCAATGCTTTGACATTTAAGGATCCTCCAAAACACTCTTTAAAATGTGTATGTGTGTGTGTCTGTGTTGGCATCTATTTTGTATTATATTTCTCAGGATTGGCATCTATTTTGTATTATATTTCTCAGGATTATTTTTGTATGTGGGAAATTGATGACCTTTTAATTACCAAAATAAATTTTGGTAATTAAAAGCAAGGGGATCAGACTTCTCTTTTGAAAATTTATAAGGAAGTAATTTTCTCTTTCTTAAATTTATCTTGTAGTATAATTGAAAATTATCAGATATCTTTTCTGATTCAGTGCTGGGAAAGTTAAGCATGAGTCATTGCCAGCTTTTTAACTATAAATACAAAAAAAATAGTTTATTAGAATATTTGATAATTTTGTGATTAGTTTTCTCCGGAAGATAATTTTGAATGTTTAAAAATTCTATTTTTACTTCAAGTTCATAATGTCTTTCATCAGAGTACAAAAAAAAGTTAATCCATATACTAGAAGCAAATAGCATTAATAAAGGAGATTTTAGTTAAATGAGATATAACTTAGTGTCCAAAAAAAATTTAAAAAATTCTGAATGTAATTTTAACAATTCAAATTCCATCCAGATTTATACTTAACATCAGAAATTTATTTTTTTCTCCATATATGGCAATACATTTTTCTGAAACTTATTTCTTTACAGTTAATGCTTGTATTCCAAGTGAAGTAAGCTCTGTGAAAAATCAAAAGATTAAATTATTAGTAGCAAGTAAAATTTTCAGTAGACAGGACTGTTTATTTTTAATTGGAGAGAGTCAGATATAACTATAGCTGTGTATGCTGGCTGTTCAGAATTTTTGTTATATGAAAATAGCCATTGTTTCTAATGGATAGCAATAATTTTTAATAAGTTCTAAACCAAACAGAATTTTTGTTTAACATAACTTTGTCCAATCAAGTCAAATGTGCCATTTGAAATTTCACAAGTATGCATATATGTCCAAGATAAGAAAAGGAAGTTAATTAGCTGAATTCAGCTAAAGAGTTTTGTTTTTAACTTTCCCTTAAAGGGAAATTTGTATAGTAAAATAAGTGAAACAACTTTAACTTGAGAGATAAAAGTAATTTTGTTTCCAGATACATAGGAAGAAGAAATTTTAACAGTTTTAGTGCTTTGAGCCTTAAGTTTCATGAAGCTGGCTCAAGATAATAGCTTTAGGCATGCCAATGATACTAAAGCTGTTGACAATGAGTCCTGTCTGCTAGTGTCTCCCTCATTGCAATGCATAAGCAGTGGTGGTAAAATTCAGCTTTGCTGTACACTTATCTTTGTTGCACTGCTAAATTATCCTTCTATTTGTATAGAGGTTTTAAGACTGAAACCAGAAGTATTCTGATATATTTTGAATAATTTTTTTCATAGTCAATGAAATATGCATGTACTGTACATCTTGGTTTTTGAACCAGAGAATATCTTGCAATACACCAAACTGAGTGCATTCCCATCTTATCTTTTGGTATATAATTATCAGAAGCTCTTTAAGGCATGTAATATTAGGCTGATTGTTCAATATTCTCTGCAGCAAATGGCATTTGGTTTCTTTGGGAGATCAATAAAGGTGGCATGATTGAAGATGTAAATATCTTCTATGCTCTTCTCCCCATATCCTTGAGAGATTCAGCATGGATAGTCCTCTCTACTGGTTTTTCCCAATTTGATCAGTGTTGCTGGTCCCTCCATTATAGGATGCCCAGCAGGTGCATTATCTTTCCATTCATCATGGAATAGATCTTTGAAGTACAGCTCCTATATCTATAGTTTTTTTTATATCCATAACCAGTTTACCAACTTCACTGACACACTTTTTACTAGTCATACCATTTTTTATGGAGGTTGAATTTGTTGTGTTTTTTTTTCCAGTTTGTCTATTTTCTTATATTTTCTGTTTAGCTCTTATGGACAAGATCTAGGAAAAGGAGTTGTTCTAGGAAAAGGAGTTGTTTCAGTTATTTTTTGATAGCCTTTGAATCTTTCAATACCATTTGGGTGGAGATTCAGGTTTTTTTTGAGTGCACTCATCAATAGTGGTCAGACTAATAAGACCCTTGAGTCTTTTGTTAATAGAATATAATTGATTTCACAGTTATGAACACATGTATGTACATTCTCGTAGCAAAATTGAAGGAGTCTGTCATCTCTCAAGCCATATTCTCCTGTAATGTCCATTTTCACTGCCTTTTCCCACTTCTGAACAACTTCAGTAGGAATTCTATTTTTTCATAGAAATTGTCCATGGTAACATGGACTAACTAGTCATGTTACCATGCAGACATCATAACAGACTAACAGACTAACTAGACATCATACATAAACCTGCATAAAATTGACATTAACTGGAGCATTACCATCATAATTCTGTTAGGGTGTGGGATAAAATTTGTCACATGTCACGTGGAGTCTGTGACTGTAGTGATATTTGACCTACTCTTCCCCTCAGTTATGATCCTGTCGGTCCTGTGTGTCCATATCCAATCCCTTTACAAGCAGTCATAAAATTAATATACAAGGGTAGACAAAGGATTGTAAAAAGGGTAGACAGAGGGAAAAGTGTGGAAGAGTCAAAAGGACGGTAGAGTTAGTGAGGAGAAGTGGTGGAGTTTGAAAGTGGGCAAGGAAGGATAAGAAGAGTCTTGAGTTTCTACCATAAACTTTAAATCACACTTGATTTTTTTTTTCTATTTTTGTTAAGACATTTGACTATTTCAATTCGGTATGACAAATTGGCAGGAGGGAATCCGTTAGTCACTGTAGAGAATCCTATCTGAATTGTCAGGTATGTTTAGGATAGTTTTGGCTGAATTTGCCAGCTTTGGAACTTGGAATGTACAGAGCCTGCTGGGGAATGAGGGGCATTGGTTCCTCTTGTGCCAGTTTGCAGCTTTTAGCCATGAAAATGTTAAAGACAAATAAATTGTGGTGACAAAAAAACCATTAGCTCTGCTTTGTTGTTGGAGTCAGGTTCATCCGTGACCTCTGTTTCCAGACTTGATTTTGCTTTGAGCTTATCTGAAATTTTAACATACCATTTGTATTAACCTGTGATGTCTGGTAATTGATGCCACATGCTTAACAGTCAAGTTCTCTAAAAAAAAAAAAAAAAACTGGATTTTCCAGATGGACAAAACTTCTTATTAACTTACTCTGTCCAGGTAAAAGTTGCAAACTATTAAAAAATGTACATGTAGATGAATTGCAAACATTTTTAACAATTAATGGTCCTGTTTAACAGGTTTCTGATGTTTATTAAAAACTTGCCTAAAAAGATATCTTTGTAAAATGTATTAGATTAAGAAATAATAATGAAACAAAAAAATTTACTTTGTCTCTCTATATTTTTAAAGAAAATTAATTTATAATTTTCTTTAAAAATATAGAGAGACAAAGTAAATAAAAAATAACAATTTGTAATTACTTTTTCTTAAGACAATAATATTACTAATATAAAATGGAAAATATTTGGGTTATTTTTATCACTCACAGAGAAAAATATACATAAAATTAAATGCTAAACTAAGAAGAATTTCAATAGTTCAGTATAACTAAAAGTAGGAAATAAAATGTTTTTATACTAAAATGTAAAAAAAAAATTCTTTAGCTTCCACAGCATTTTTGGTATTATGAGACCAAAAATATTGTGAAAGCTAAAGAAATTTTTTCACAAGTTCTGTTGATGTGTAATGACTTGCTCATAGCAACTGATCTTGATCATCTAATTTCACAGTGCTAACACATTTTCGTTGTCAACAGACAACAATATCACCACTTGCATTATTTTCTTGGTCTTCCAGATCATTATTTACACTATCAGCTCCACCATCCACACTCAATCTTTGCTAAAATGAACAATACAAAAGTCAGCATCAAGGTCATGAGAGGTCTTAACTGGTAGAACATTCTTTGCTCTACCACATTTTCGTTCCAGCAAGCCATCCTGTACTCATTCTTGCTATTGCCATCACTAGATATACCACCCTTAACAAATTTGATGTAAACACATACAATAAATTATATTAACAGAGTAATCTTATGTATAATGGTAGCTTAGATGATACCAATGCTCTTATCTTTAGAAGAGTATTTCAACTGCAATATTTATATTCCACAAATAGTGGTACAGTAGCCTGTCTTTGCATTTTTCTTTATCTCCCAACAAGTGCAATATAATTATAATAGAAATTCCATAGAATGTAAGAGTACTAAAAATTCTGAGCTTTTATCTTCTATTTTTTCATCAGCAGATGTTTCTGATATAAAATAAGCTTAGTTTTTCAATACTGAATTTTATTTGTGGTAATATCATATTAATTGACGTTTACGTAAACATAAAGAAACAACAATACTAAATGGACATTCATGGTATTTAACAATGACATTTAAAGACAAATATTGTACTGTATAATAAAAATTACTTAACAATTCCTGCATTTATATTTTTTAAACTTTCATATAATAGAACATTAAAACTTGTTTTGCTTTTTAGAGAATTTTTACTCTAATTTTATAACGTTAGAAAGAAATCTTTTAATAAGTACTGTCTCCTCATTTACAAGTTGTTTGTTTATTGTTTTTATCAAAAAGAAAAACATAAGTCATAATAATTGACATGTCTGCCTGTTTCGTTTTAGATCTTGACAAATTTATTGTTTCATCTGCAGTGATAGTTTCGAGGACAATGGTAGGAATAAAGTACTGTATTTCAATGCCAATTGATAATTTAAAATTTGTGGACCCAAAAAAGTATGATATATCGAGGGGCCACTGTATTATGTCACAAACATTTTTGATGCTTAAGCATGTGAAAGTGAAAATTGATTCAAAGGTTTGTTCATATTTGTCAGCTTCTGTAAATGTATAATATTGCTTGAATTTGTTCAATCCACTGCTCTTATGACAAATGTAACCTGTCACACCATTCTTTTCCTTTAAACTCTGTCCTGTGGGCACTAAGAGGTCTAGCCTCTTTTAGCAAACCCACAATTCAGTGGCTAGATGGGCCTGATATATCCAAACCTGAAAAATTCCTGGGGCTTTTTTGACTTACCCAGATTCAATGCTGTGAAGTGGCTGGATGGCCTACCGTTCTGGGTCACCCAGAATGGTAGGCCATCCAGCCACTTCACAGCATATTAGTAATCTCATTCATTGATGACTATCTAGGGGTTCATGACTGGTTCAACTGCAATGCATGCATGATTTTATGAGTGCTTGGAAGCACATATGTACTGTTCATTTGACAATGTTTTCATTGGCTCCTTTCTGTGGCAATATAAGGGAAATTATTCAATACAGTAGAGCATCGATTATCCGACCGCGTTCTAGTCAGCAAATTCAAATGTCCACTAGTGATGCGACGCTAAAATATTTGGCTATTTCTTGGCTACTTTAATGTTATTTTTGTTAAATTTTTGGTGTTTTAGCTGGCAACACTGGCTCGACCATGAAAGAGATGCCAGTAAACGAGGCTTAATTTTCTAATTATGAGTGGTTGTTTGTTTTGTGAGCAATAAAATAATTTTTAACGATACAATAGCGACGATTATTATTTTTTAAAAAAATTTGTTAGGTTTAACATTGATGAAAATTCAATGCTAAGTAGGTTAATAGCAATATACTATCAATAATATACTAATTACATGGGATATACTATAAAAATAATGTATTTTTTCATACTTTTCGGTTATCCATTTTTTTCAGTTATCCCAGTCCCCAATTGAGTTGGATAATCAATGCTCCACTGTATTACATTTGCAATTTATAGGTGGTACATACCCCACAATCTGCCAACGTTGTAGCTTTTACAGCAGCCAACTACACCATTATGTCAATAAACACCATACTAGAAATTGCTGTATGCTTATGTAAAAGAAACAATAGTTTTAACATGATCAGCACCATACTGCATCTGTTGTCTTTGGCTAAGACTGTTCAATGAAACATGAAAAATTTTACTCAAACTCTTACATTTCCTTTAACTGTATACAGGATACCTTGTTTAGCAATGTTACCTAGTGTGAGACAATGAGTTGGTCATGGCTGCTCATTCGGACATCCATCACAGGGTCTTGGGTTATGCTCTGGAAAATTTCCAAGCATTTCATCAGTTTAACTTACTAATTAATGCAAATTTTGGAATTTTTCAAAAATGACAGCCTTATTAGTGAGAAATAAGTTGATAAAGTGACAGCTTAACATGTGTTTGGAGTCTAGAAAGAAAAACTAACGTTTGATCACAATGCTTAAACAGTATTTCACAGGTTCTGTCATGTCAAAATTTTTATGCTTTACTCCTCTGGAAAAGCTAAGCAATGTTGATGATGATAATATTTGATTTGCTTTTGTGGAGTTTAATTTTGTTTAAAATAAATTTTATAAATTATTGGAATCAAGTAGTTGTTTAGAAGAATTTTTTACTATAGCTTATAGTGATCATAAACGAAAACGTTCAATTCCCTTTTGTGCATACATTGGGACATGTGCAATGAATGGATTGAATGGAACAACATCTGACAGAAACACAAAAATTCTAACATTAGCACTTCACTGCTATAGTGGAGCGTGCTAAAAAGTGAAGAAAGTTGCTGCACAGGACTCTCAGGAGCTCAACATTTTGCTATTTTTCCTGAAGCATGTTCTGTGATTCAACTTCATGCTTAATGTTTAAAATGAAAACCCTAGTCTGCTTATTTCGACCCCTGGGAGGTCTTCTTGTCATTGCCAGGTTCATTGGGTAATCCTGTGCTGATGTAGTACATCAGCACAGGATTATATACATTTCATATACATTTACGTAATCCCAAGCAAACGTGGAACAAGTTAAATGTTTCCATTTGATCACGTGAGGCATGCTAAATATACATTGACAACCCAGGAAGGTTTAAAACATTTTTTATCTGATTTTTATACCCTTCCTGGTAGGAACCAGTTCAACTACATTGCTTTATAGGTTTTACCTTCACTTTCCTTCTCTGCCATCCATTATCACACTTGACAAAGTACAGCTTGTAAGAATAATGACTGAAAAGTTTAAACATCTAAAATATGATTCATTAGATAAATCTCCCATTTACATTTCATTATGTCAGTTTTGCAATTATGTCTAATGATTAAAACTTGTTCTCTATTTCTACCAGACTCCAACAAAAAATAATTAAGAAAAAAATTTTGTTTTAAATATCTAAATAATGAAGTAAGTTAACCTACCTTTTTTGGGCATCTCTTAGAAGTACTCAGCATGCAACTGGAAATAAATAAGTTTTATTTAATATAATTAATGGAATTTAAATGTAAAAATCATTAGCAGTTCAGAAGAAGAAACTTGTATACTGAAAAATCTTATGGAAAGATATGTGCAGGCCTAAAGTATTAAATTTTTACAATAAATGTTATGAAAAGTTTATCAAAACTGGCAAGTTAGAATACAATATTTAAATATTTATTCTGTTAACAAATTTGTGTATACTAAATAAAAGCAAGTTTTCTTATAGCAGGTGATTCAAATTAAAGTTATCCTATTCAGTGCCTTCAGCACAAAACCAGTTGGTAAAATTCTTCTGACTCTGGCAACTCCAACCTCAAAGTTTACTATTGGTAAAATGTGAAGTTTTGATTTAATTAATTGAAAAGTATTTTTAAAGAAATTTCTTAATGATATGCATATCTCAAGCAACATTCTATATACTTTCAGAAAATATTTTTATTAATTTAAGGCCCACTAGTGGCCAAGTGGATAAAACCATGAAACACTTGCAGTTGTGGGATTGTGCCTGGAAAGTAAATAGTTATGGTATCAATTCAAAGTGCCAAGCTTATGTTAACCAAAAAGAAGCTCCAAAGAAATAATTTGACTTTCATATCAGACACTTTTTTATATATATATAAAAATCAAATTTTTTCGCTACCCTTCTATTAGTTTTGAGTTATTTATGACTATTAACTTCAATAACATAATTTGGTCTTAAAACAGTCAATGAAAAAAAAAACCAAGATCAGAATCTAACTGAAACAATTTTATTAATTATATTTTGAAGTTTTATTATTCACTGGCTTAAGTTCTTGGGTCAATTGCACCTGTCTGTTCAAGCTGACTGATTTTTTCCCAATTTTCACATTTTAAAATTGTATTGTATACTTCAGTTTTTTTCAACTGTCTGTAGGAAATTAACTGTTCCTGTTGTAAATGAAGCAGGTGAGACTATTTTACTAGCAAATTTATTATGTACATTAAAACACAAAAAATAATGATTTATTGTATTTTAATTCTTTTTCCTTGAAAACAATTAACTAATAAAGTGGAATTCTTTTGGCTATTAAGATGTAGTAAAAGTGATTGAATTTACCTTTGAAAAATTTTTGAGTACATAAAGAAACACTTCAACTTTTTTAAAAAGATATCACAGAGTATCCGAATATTTTTGTGTAAGATCGGAGTAGGACTTTGTTTACTGACTCCACCACACTGGGCAAAATTTTATTAAATTTGACCTGCACTCCATGGAAGAGATTTATAGAAAAAACTAGCTTACCCGTTGCGCATTGCTACGATCTCAGAAGAAAGGAAATTCAAGCAAACTCATTATGATAAAATTAAATTTACATTTTATCATTTTTATTAAAACTTATTATTATTATGAATAAGTGGAAAAATAAATTGATAATGCAAATATATAATGCAATACGTTTATACAAGAATAAGTGGAAAAATAAGTTGAAAATAATGCAAATAAAATATAATTCAATACGTTTATACATGAATAAGTGGAAAAATAAATTGATAATGCAAATATATAATGCAATACGTTTATACAAGAATAAGTGGAAAAATAAGTTGAANTCCCCATTTTTATATTTTTTTTTTAATCCTTTACAATTTTAATTATTTAATTGCTCCTTCTTCTCTTCCTTGGCATGTTGTGAAATTTCTGATAGTTGGATAATAAACTGTTTTATTGTAATTTGTCTTTTTAAATTATTTTGAGTTGATATTAAAATTTGGAAAAGGAGGATCCCTAGATCAGTAAAATAGGCAAATTTCCTCCTACAACTTCTGTTGTTGTTTGGGATACAGTTAAAATTTTAACAAAGTTCAAGCGAATATATAATTAGCAAAAAAAAAAGTTGAAATAAAGTGATTAAACAAAAATTATTACAAATACCGTTAATAACAGTTCACAAATACATATATAGAGATATTTTGGGGGGGGGAATGGTCTTCACAATTTGAAATTGATCGAACACACTGTAAAATGCTCGTATACACGCGCGCCATCTGTCGTAGGATAAATGTACTATGCCAGAAACCTTCGTGGGAGTGTATTAAACAACTTCCCAAAGTTTCACGGCAATCAGATAAACGGTGTGGTAATGCATGAAGGACAGACAGAGACAGACACACACACACACACACACACATTCATTTTTATATACTGTATATAGATAATAGCACCCTTAGCAGTGATTTTTGAATGTAAATGGTATCCATGACCCTAGGTTTACAAAAATGTTCATAGTAATCCATAATTATTCAAGCATAGACATTTAATTACTGACAATTTTCATCAAAATAGTTTGCACTGCTACAATGAAAAACAGTGCTGCTAAAGAAGTATCCTTAGGCTGTTAGTGTTGATCAGAGACTACATGGTTAAAGGCCAATAACTGATCTGATGAAATATGTTATATATACTGCACTTAATTAAAACAGTAATTCTTACAATTTTGAGTAATTAAATTAATTAAAAACATGTTTTTGTAAATCTACTGACATGTGATGTCACACAGCACTCTAGTGCTGATTTTTGGAACTTTTTCCCATAAAGCTCTTTGCACATGTGGAAAACCAAATTTAATGTATGAGGGTAGATCAAATATAAATATTTATTTATTTTATGTTTTAAAATTATTTATTAAAAAATAAAAAAACATTATGATTATTTTTCTACATAGCTTCCTGCTAGAGAAACATTTTTCCCAGCAAGAAGAAAGGTTTTTCTTATTCCAGTATCGTAGAATGAAGTTGGTTGCATCAGGAGTCAATTGCGCATGAATTCCTCTACTCCTGCATCATTTTTGCATCGCTGCCCTCCTATAGCTTCTTTAAGCAGCCCAAACAAATGAAAATCGCAGGGCGATGGGTCAGGGCTGTAGGAAGGATGATCAAGTGCAGTCCAGTGCATTTCATTAAGTTTTGAGACTGTTAGAACTGCAGTATGGGGCCTGGCGTTGTCATGGAGGAGGAGGAGAATGACATCTCGATCACTTGACAGCTTCCATAACTTATTCTGACCTTCTCTGCAATTTTGCAAACTGATTCATCCCTCCTCTTCAATAATGTCTCAAACCACTCGAATGTTTTCGCTTGTGATGCTGGTCTGAGGACGGCGATCATGTTTCTGATTTTCCATTCGTGTCCATCCTTCCATGAACTTTTTATGCCAGGCAAGCACACAGTCCTTGACAGTGTTTGATCCCCAAACTGTGCAGTCAATCTGCAAAAAATTTCTGTCACATTGACTCCTTTACAAGCGAAAAATTGTATGATTATGCGTTGCACAACAGAGGAGTGTACCTGTTGTCCGACATTGTGAGCACTACTGATGAATTGGTTGATAGTATGAAACGGCCGGCATTCCCCACTCCTAATAACCCTACCCAATCAGTCTAGACACACAGGCCCTGTACTGCCAACCTTAGTTGCTCAGGAACAAAAATCCCATTTATATTTGATTCACCCTCATATTAATAGTTTTACCCATTGTTTCTCTTTGCAGAAAACACTGAAAAAGGTAATTTTGCCTTTAATCTGAAAAATTGTATTTTTTGACAATGCTAGGCTGAAATTTTTTATTATATTTAATTCTAAACTTAGTCATATGATTTTTTTTAAAAGTTTGTATATAGTTAAAGATTAATTAAGGAAGGATAGACAGACAACAATGGAATCTATATATCTGCAATTTTCAAATTGCAGCCATATATTCCGTAACCAGTTTTTAAGCAGGAGGAAAAATGTCAAACTTATTCATAAATTTGGATTTTTATAGTCTCTAAATTATGCAAATGAGATGATCATTCCTTATATATTAAATATATGCAATTTACAGTATAGTAATGTTTAAATATACTTGCTGTTCTGTGCCAAGTAGTGCCGTTAGCTGCCTCTTTTTAAGTTGTAGGAAATGAAATCTTTCTCCATTCCTAATGGAAACTGTAAAGAATGTTTAAAAAATAAATAAATAAGCTGAAAAAGATTTTGGTATTTTGAAATGGAAGAAAAAATATAATAAAATTACAAATTTTGTCATCAGGAACAGAATCACAGGAGCATATACCAACAAGGATACATGGATAGGTTAGAATGATCACCCCAATTCCAGATTTTACCTCAATTGATTTTTTTTTCTGTAGGAGGTATTTGGAGTTTAAGATTCATGAAACATTGTCACTGAATGCATGTGATGTGCACAGTTTATTCTTACTGCTTGTTGTTAGCCACGCATCATTGAAGACTGTTGTCATTTTGAATACGTAAAATAAAAAGCACACTGATATTTGCATCTTAAGGGTTTAATGTTGCATGACTCTGAACAGTGGAAACTCTAAATGCCCACCAAGTTTGGATGATCACGTTTCATGAGCAATAAATATTGTAATGCAATTACATCGTATTTGTAGGTAAATTAATTTACTAAATATTACATGTACATTTGACCTAATTTTTTGGCATTACAATCGACAGATGACTGTGATTTCCAGTTACATAGAGAATTTGATATGTGGATTTGGATAATTGAGTTTCTAACTTAGCTATGAAGAGGACCAAATGATTATGTAAATGTTGCAGTCAGTTTCTCTTGCATTACAGCCTTGTTATACAGTGATGCACATAGGATGCCAGTTTTTTACAACCTATTTCAGTATCCCATTTGGGAGTTTGGGATTGAAGATATTACATACTGTTGTTTTTCATGTCCTTGAAGCAGCTTTCGTACCCATGAACCTAAGAAGTGAACTTGAAACATTCATACCTGAAATATATATAGTATGGTGATAAAAGTCTTTCTTTCAACCAATTTCTGTAGAGAAGCAAAGACCTGCTTTCCTTACATAATTAAATTTAAACAAAATCACCCAGGCAGTGGACATGTAAAAACATACCCAACTTCTGCTTCAACCTCTTCCATTCTAATAAGATGCATTTTAGATATAAAACTTGTTCTTTAAATAGAATTCTAATTTTTGCATTATATTTTTTCAGAATATTATCACCCCAATGTGTACTTTTAAAGAAACTAGGCGAAAAAATTCCCTTTGAGATTGCGGTAGGGATGAACGGAAAGATCTGGATCTGCGCCAGGACCACTTTTAACACTATGCTGGTCTACAACTGCATCACTTTAGTCGAACACATGAACAAAGAAGAGATCGAAAATCTGTGTCAAACCGTAGCCGATAGATTTACTGCCGTTTGAATAAATATATAAAAAGTTGTATATAAGTGTAATTAAAAAATACTCTTAAAATCTAACTTTTGAGTAAATATGTATTGCATTAAGTACACTTAAACATAAAAATCACACTTCAGCTAATGTAACACCAATATATTTCTATGGTTCTAAATAATTTTCTAGTAAGCCAAACTACAATTGTACAGCTGTAGAAGAGAGGAACAAGCCTGATTTTACTCTTCTGTTACATCCTTAAAGGTGGAAGCAGTTGAAGCTTTCATTATAAAACTCATCAAACTTGGTAATATTTGATGAGTTTTATAACAAAATCATTCTAATGCCGACTACATGTGTACCAATATGTGTATAGCCACTTAAGAATATAAAACTTGTCCAACGACCTTCTTAAATCTGTTGTTCGATTTAATTGCTTTTAGTATTATAAAATTTCATTTAAGTGTAATGAGGAGGATATCAAAGAAAAACAAAATGTAGATTGCATCCAGATGTATTTATGACAAAGTCAATTATTTGCATATCGATAACAGAAGAAGCATTCAAGAAATTCAGTGAATGCGTAAAGGGACACAATGCTGTAGTTTATATTATAATTGCACAGGACCAAGTTCATGTATAGTATTTTCATTCTACTAAGATCACAGCTATTGTAACACATCTAAAAAAATGACGATTTGAGGTCATTTATTTTTGGGACCGAACGAATTTTTGTCATTAGAACATAAGAAAACTCGGACATATTTTAAAATTGAGGGGGTGGCAACGATGGTTATGGCATAGCTTTTGTGGGGATGCCATTAGAGGGGAGGTTAACGGCATGGCGGCAATAGTTTTATATAGTTCGACACAAAGGGGAAGAAACGATACTCACCTCAACCATGCAACCTTCATTGTTTCGTGACACGGTCCACATCGAAAACTTTACGCTTTCTGCATAACTGCTCCCCGTTTTTTTTTTACTCCCACGTTCCCTGTTGGTTTTACTAACACGCAATCGCTACAGGAAAAAGTGAACCATTTTTATTCTTGTTTTTCCTACGTTAATCACCTTCTATTGTTTATTATTATATTATTATTAATTACAGTTATAAAAATAAAATGTATGTTTTTCGGTTTCTGCGTTTTGCCCCCCTTTAAAACCTCGTAAATAGCGCGGAGTAAGTAAACATTACTGTAATTTCGAAATCGTCCGATAGATGGTAGCCTTAGCGAAACGTGACGTCAGAAAGACGGGCCGTTAGTTTATGACATCACGAAGGGGACGTACTCGATTTTAATATATTGAAGATTACGAATTCTCGTCATCCGAAGGGAAGGTACGAGATTGGCGGATTTTTCACTCTCATTTAAATAACGGCGGTTAACTCGCGTGGCGTTCGATTTAATTAGTGTCGTAGGAATTTTTGGGTACTTAAGTGCAACCTTGTCCCGAATATTTTTGGTTTTCGTTTAAAGTAACAAAAATCGGGATGTTTAATGATGCGTGCATCTCGGCGCCAAAGAGGATATTTTATCCTTGTTTGGTGCTTATTTGAGTTGGGAATTCTCAGAAAATGCCTCCAATTTTTTAATATTTGCTTAAGGGGTTCGATTTCTGATGTATGGATCATTAGAAATGGAATTTCATCAGAACAATAAATTTATTGTGTTACTTCCTCGCAGTTTGATTAAACAGGGCGATTGCTATGAAAGAACCCTCTTGAAGGGATCTCAGAGCATTCTTTTCCAAATATCTTCATTTTTAAATTACACGATTGTAAATATTATTTATAGATCTAAGGACCCGTCCGTTAATTACGTGTACAGTTTAAGGGAGGGAGGAGTGTGTTAAAACTGTATCGTATACACAACGGGGGAGAGGGCTGCTAAAAGTACAGTACATCATTGTACACAGTGTCTACCTGGACATTTTTAATGGTATTAAGTCATTTATTCAATGTCGGGTAGGTTTATGAACTATTGTACACGTAATTAAAGGGGGATTTTCAGAAAGAAAAGGCTACATCATTGCACACCATTGTGTACAATGATGTAGCCTTTTCTTTCTGTAGCCTTTGTACATTGTCAAAAATGGCTTAAAAGCAGTAGTTAATGGTTGGCCCTAGTTAACATTAAATTTACGTTGAAAAAAATGTGAATGCGTTCAGTGTTAATTTTTTTAAGGCTCGCCCCAAAAAAGGATGGTTAGCATAGCGGAGATTGCGAAAATTGCGTCACATCCTGTAGTATTCAAATGAGATTTGACGTCATTGGTGAGGAAATTTCTCATCTCACGATGTGAATATACGTTACTTTCACATTTATCAATAATTAAACCCAATTTTTTAAACCATGGCTAAAAAATAATTATCTAGTTTGCTACTAAAATGTCAAATTTTCGAATTTATAACGTTAAATTCGATATTTCACGCTACCGCTTAGCAACAACCGTAACACGACGTCACACAAACAGTTTGATTAAATCAAACTGCTGACTCTAACAAACACCAGAAACCTGTACTAGAGTGTTACACGCGCTGTAAATAACTCCCATTTTATGCTTTTTTATACCTTAAACATTACATTGTGTTGATAGTTTTGGCTGGATGCTCTGTGGAATATCTACAAAAAAACCGAGCCACAGTGTGAAAAATAATAATAAGAGTTACTCACGTAACGGCGAAGATAGCAACAAAAAAAACTATACATCATTTATATTTTTAAATGAAAATAGTAAACCGTTCAACTCAGAAAACACTAGATACATAACTTAAATCTCACGCACGAATCGTAACGAAATTGCGTTACGAGAGTTACGTCTTATTTTTTTAATATAGCAGGGTTAAAGTGGCCATTTAAGCTGTCAAAAAACCCTTAAGTACTTCGCATAACTCGAGCGTGTAACGTTTTAATTATCTCGTACATCTCGAAATAACAAATTAACGATTCGCTAAACTTGATTTTTTTACGTAGAAAAATTCGAATTTTTTTCGTCCGTTATGGGAAGAATTTACATTAAATTACATATAATTAATGTTTATTGTTCTATTGTTTATATAAAACCTGTTACTGTTATAGCGCGACGGAGCGCATTTATAAAATTATTTATTATTATTGTGGGGAAGAGAATAATGGGAACAAGATTCGAATCCTAATTATCAGACATCCGATGGTAATGCATACAGGCCACGTAGAGAAATAAAAAAAGCTTTAGTAGGTCACAAAATCTGTACGAATCTTAGTGTTTAACAGTTGCAATCGATAGAAGACACGATATTAAATAATATCAAAGAGGTTAGAATAATAAAATTTGGTATTATCATCGGAAAAAAGGTTACAAAAGAGGAATGCCGAACAATCTTTTATATATATATATATATATATATATATACCACACGCGGTTATTTTTATTGTTATATTGCAGCAGCATCCCGCTTATTATAGAAAAGAAAGAGTTTGGAGTTATCTGCGTGCCATTCAACATCGTGCCAACATCCTGCAACTATTCATGCACACCTGTTTACTTCCTCTGTCCGATGCTCCTAGTGTTTCCTGTCTATTGGACATAGCGGTTGGATTTCCCTTTCGGTTGGTTGGTCGATTTTTGGCCTTCGCCAGTGCAAACTGGAGCGTAACAGTGCTTTGGCCATGAATATATCAACGGTTTAGGGTCCTGCTACTCACGTTATTGTTTAGTAGTAACGGGTAGAGAGAGAGAGAGTTCACTGCTCGCTATTCTCTATCCAAATGTTACTGAAACTGGTTGTCTGTTCGCTATGACATGATGATCCTTTACTTCTATATCTCGCTCTGCTGTTTTTGGATGGGGGTCCGAGTGAGTATATCAGTTTTTTGTTAATTTATTATTATTTTTTTATTTATCGCGTGTAGAGCTACTTAACGCGTCTTAAATATGATCTAAGCGGCCCTTCAGGCGCTTCCGGCTGGGTGGAGAGATGAGGTTAGCTTTTTTTAAACGCGTTTTAGCGATAAAATTTAACATTCCTGGCGTGCCGAGATGTCTCGAAAGACTTTTAAATGCACATTGCGTATCTATCAGACGCATTCCTGAGAGGTAGAGCGCATGCCAACATCCATATGGCAGGCACATGTCTGTCTGTCAACTCTGACTTACAGCAGATCGTCAACGACGAAAACATACGAATGTTGTTTGCATGCCCTTGAACCTTACTCGGATTGCTCAAAAATTATAATAAATTCGTTCTGTATGACGTAACAGAGTATAATTTACGTATATCTTTTGTTTTTAATCCACTAATTACTTAAATCGCGCGTGCGGCTCTTCCTATATGATGGAATATTTATATTTAGATGATTAGTTAACGTACTTCCTGATTGAACAGACTCGTGCCTCCCTCCAGACTTAAAGAATGATACATATTTTATGTACAGTACCTCAGCTATGAGGATGTCTGCGTGATGATATCAACCTGCAAATGATGTCTTGCATTTAGGAATGAATTTCCGCGTGCCAAATAAATGCCCAGTTACATTAATGAGCCAAAGCAATGTAAAGAGTATCAGAGAGGCCATAATGTTCTTGTGCTCAGATTTTTAAAGCAAAATTTAAAAAAATCATTCGATAGGAGGGCCAAAGTTTTAAGATGCCAAAGATTTAATCTAGTTAAAACTCGATATTAATTTGTTTAAGGCTGCAATAAATGAATATTCAAAGAGGGGCGAGATAATTTTATAATGAATGTCTTGTTGTAGAGCAAACTTTAAGGAGTTGCAAACCTCTTTAAATTCAATTTACAAAAAATTTCAGGAGCGCTTCACAAAACAAATATAATGGGATATTAATTATCAGAGGGAGGACTTGAATATTGTTTTTGTGCAATAAAGTGCCTAGTTCTAAGACAATTTAAGGAGAATTTGCATTGTAGTTAGGATTAGGCACCCATAGACACTTAGAATTATTTTTTTAAAAAAGAGCATCAGATAAAATTTTTGGTGTTGGAAGACAATTCCAATCAGATTAACCCAGATGAGATTCAGAATCGAGTCATAACGAAATCATCAAAACAAGGGGGTGGGAATTAAATTATGGTGCCTAAAAGTACTTAGTTCTTAAGAAAGAAATTTAAGGAACCACCAAAAGATTAACCTATTTAAAAATTACATATCATCAAAGAAGAAGGGGATGAAAGATACAAAAATTTTTCCCTCTTCGCTTCATTTATCTCCATCAAATCCTTTTTCGGTGCCCCAAATTAAAATTGTTAGCAAAAAAAAAGTTCAGACTGAAGTCCTTCTGTCGAACAATTAACGAAGTCATTGGATGTCGGGAAGTGAGCCATTCAGTATAAAAATATCGTCATTAACTATTGAATATGAGATAGTTGGCCTTCAAAGTTTAGTATTCATTTTTGTAATTTGACAAAAATATCCCTTTCCTCCTCCTCCATATTTTTTTAAATGTTATTTAACGTTCTTCTCCCTCTTTTTTTTTGGTGCCATGGTCTTAGTTGGCCTTCACAGTTTGGTATTTAGTTTTGTTAATTTAGGAAAAATATCCTTTTCCTTCTCTTTATCCTCCTGTTTCATATTTTTTAATGGTATTTAAAGGTCCTCGTCCTTCTTTTTAGTACCATTTAAAAGGGGGGTCTTCTGAGTTGGCCTTTAGGGTTCAGTATTAATTTCTGCTAATTTGAGAAAAATATCCCATTCTTTATCTTTCTATCCAATATTTAAAAAATTTTATTTAAAGTTTCTCGTGTTTTCTCTTCTTTAATAAGAATTTTAAGTCCATGGATCCTGGCAAGAGATGGCATTCAGAATTTAGCCATTATTTTCGTAATTTGATAAAAATATGAGGAGGAGGAGGAAGAGGAGGAAAAGGATATTTTTAATGTTATTTAAAGTTCTTCGCCCCCCGTTTTTTTTTGGTACCATCGATGGTAGTCTGAATGACTTTCTAGAATTTTTAATTGCGTTAATTAAAGGAAGTTACACTCATTTAAGTGCCTTTAATTCACAGAAAATAAATTTTATGGCGTATAAAATCAGACGGCACAGTTTTCCCTCTAATCTATCAAGGATAAAGTACAGGGAATTCTTTTATTCCTACGATTCTGTATGGAGTTTCAGGCGCTCATTCTTGGGGTAGATATATTAAATTTGAATGGGCGCATGATAAATTAGTATCTTCTAGAGCATAGATTCTTAATTTTATAATTATTTT